AAAGGGTAAGCTTTTCCTTGCCTCTAGCCTTGGATGTCTCTCCTTGCTCTTGAACTAATCAAAACAAGTTTAATGAGTTGTTAGCTAATTTTTTAACCTTAGGGGGAAGCCAAGAACATTTTCTTACCAATCAAAACCCACAAAACAAACCAAAACTTAGAATCTCATAAACCCTCACTAAACCCATTTTTGTGAAACTTGGCCAAAACTTACCAAAGTGGGTTTGAATGAAAGCTTGAAGGATGAAGATGATGAATCTTACCTTAGAATTAACTTAGGAGGCTTGAATTTCTTAAATATCCTAACTTTGTTTGGTTCTTGAAGAGAAAAAGTAAATAGTAGAGAGAAATAAGACAAAACAATGGTGAAGATTATTATTAGTTCAAACAGCCTATGATGTGGTGGTGGTGTCGCTCTTATGCTTTGTTTTCCTGTGATGGTTTTGCCTTGATAGGCGTTATCTGGAGTTGCTTTTAGATACTGCTTATATGCCCGCTACTGTGTTTGTTCTTTTGCATTTTGTGTTCCTTGATGGCATTCCGACAGGTGATGGAGCGATGAATATAGCGTTTTCGTTGATGGTTTGAATCCTAGGTTGCAGGAGGTTTCTGCTGCAGTTGCTGGTTTTGAGTTCTAGTAGTGGTTATGAGGTGGTTGTCGGTTTTAGTTAGTGTCGTTTGATGGGTCGTATAGTCATTGTCTGAGATTTTTTGGTGTTTCTGTTATTTAGGGTTTATTTTTTTTAGAAGTCCAACAATTTAATGATGGACTTTAGGTGGTTGGTAGAGCGTGGCATGCAGTCATCGATGTTACGGCGGTTGCTTTTGGGTTCGTAGTGGCTTGTGCAGAACATGTCCCGAGAAAGATGGTATGGGGGTGTGCAGCTCTAGGCGTTAGGCCAGAGGAATCTTTTCAATAGTGGATTGTTGGCAGCTAGTTTGGTGCTTGAAGTTTATTGTGTTTCATTAGAGAGGCAGCATGGTATGGGGTTTAAACGGGAGCTCGGCCTGGTTGGCATTGCAAGTGGTGGGCCTCTGGCGTTTAGTAAAGCTACCGCACATGTTTTTGTAATGGTTTGACAGCTAGTTATGGAGCTAGTGGATTGTGAGGTGGAAAGGAGGGTTGTTGTTAATGAGAATAAGCTTGATTCTCTTATCTTTGATTCTGTTGGACATTATTTTCAGGTTGGTGTCGCACGTGGTGGGCCTCAGACGTTTATTTAGCAGTGGGCGGAGGACTTTGCAGTAAAAACATGCATGGTGGAATTAGTGCAATCCCAGCAGTCCTACCTGGTTTATTGTGATTGGAGTTTGTTGCTGATTGGTCGGAGATAGAATAATGAAGCGAGGGCAATGCTTCGCGTTTTTTGTTTGTTGCATGGTTTTGTTCTTTGTTTTGGATGTGTTGTTCATTTTTGGTTTTCATTCAGGGGTAGTGTGTAGCTACAATGTTGTAGTCTGTTTCGAGCTGTTCTAGTGGTGTTGTTCCCGGTTGTTGCTGCTGTTCTTGTTCCTGGGTTCATGTTGGACCTTCTTTCATCCCAAAGTTTACTCTTTTTCCTCTTCTTAGGATTAGAGAGGTTTTTTAATGAGGTCCTTGGGGTGGTGTACTTTGTGAATTCTAATGCAAAGTAACCATTTTTCAAAAAGAAAAAAGAAAAAGAGATAGCATAAATATCAGACGTGAGATCATTCACAATTAATTGGATTCAACCTTTGTTTTAAAAATTGGGTTAATTACTTCCCTAGTTCTCCTTCATTTGATGCATGATTAAAATCATCCCTTTTCAAGCTTGTTGGGCTCATCCCAAGCCCAAATCAAATCTACTTGGGTCCAACACTTCATATACTACATGAAAATTAATCTAAAGCCCATTCGCATAACCCGAAACTCTTAACCCGTATTTCGGGGCGTTATAGAATTGGACGACCCTCATTTGTCTCCTTCGTGATAAATTTTCTCTCTCTCTCTTTTCGACTCATGGTCGCATTCTCTCATCGATCACCATTCTCTGTCCAAATTTGAAAAAAAAAATCAAACTTAATTCCATCAACAATTATATTTCTAACTTCCATTGAAATAATGTACTTTTAACCCTGTTTCAACGGTCAGGTGTCGGTCGAATTGTTTATGTTCGGCATTGTCTGGCCTGTTGGCTATATTCTACACCAGATGTAAGTAATCCTCAGAAAAACCACTTTCCACAAAGTGAGCTAAGCAAACATGGCTTAACCTAACTTAACTAGGGTTAAATTGTGAGCTAAGCAAAAAAAAAAAGTTCAAATCTGCAGAATAGTTGACTATCAACAGTGGAGTGCCCTAGTGCAGAACGTACCTTGTCATGTACACAATGAACATATGCATGAACATTGTTCATTTCTTCACTGCAATGATCAAAGATTGAACAAGGGAGCTGATGGTCCATTGAAAATTCTTATGGAGGAGATTCATTTCTCTTTGATATTTCACGAATAACGTATCCGATAATATCGTATTAAGTTACAGATGTTGATATTCGAATTCGGGGTTAAATATTAAACTATATATGCACAGTTTTTGCACATTACATAATATAATATCATCCACATAACATGGAAACTGGACTTCTTTTTCTCCTTTGCCTAAAGTTGACAATGTGAACGATTGACCTTTCTTTAGACTGATGAAAGTGATTCCATAGCTCCACAGCATAAAAGCGACCAATAGAACTTTGACTGATGTGTTTAAGGGAAACTTCGGGGAAATCCCCATTTCTTTTCCTTCATTAAAGGTCACACTGCTTTAAACCTTTTGCTTTACTTAGTTTTTTTATATTAGGATTACAAAGTAGTATCTATTCTAAATACTTTCAATTATTTGAAAATGAACGTTCAATCATACTGCTGCAGTCATTGATGCTCGGACCCGTAATCTCTAGGAACAACAAGGATTCCTTTAATCACTGAGCTGGTAGGTTGGTTCGTGCAGTTTTCTCTTTTCTTAATAATGAAGCAATCAAAATATCAGAGATTCCAAACATGTAACACGGATATGAAAGATAAAAACGAATTATTTTTGTAATTAATATAGAAAAATAGAAGGAAAAAAATTCAAAAGGTGCAATCAAGCTTACATATTTGATATGTAAATGAAGTTGAATTTGGCATATGAGGCCAAGACAGTGATCATGTGCCCAGCAAATCATGGCATAAGTAGCCATAATAAAAATGTTAAAGATTAGACCAAACTATATGAGAATAAAAATAAAGATGCTGTGTGCATGAACCAAATGGGAACCAGAAAAAGAACAACTAGACAAAGTCTTTGATAAGCTCAAAATAGACAATTGTGTATGAAGTTGACTTTAGCCATGGAAAGAGCCAACTTAGAGTTGTAGTGGGGTCTCAAGTGGAGTGATTATTCGAATCGAGTGAAATTACCCTTTTTAATCGAGTTTATAAAATTTGAGTCAAGTCAAATCAAATATTATTATTCAGTTTTTGATTATAATGTTATGATACTGATCATTTTCAAGTTAAGAGATTATTGTTAATCATATACTATATATTTACTAATACTCTTTTTCATATGTATAAGTAAGACCTAAGATTTATAATGTTATTTATTAAATTTGAAATTATAGATTATATTCATAATGATATTTTTTTAAAGAAGATACTCAAGGACAAAGAATTTATGAAAGCATAAATGAGTCAAGTAATTAATGAGAAGAAAGAATTTGCAAAGAATTACAGTCAAAGGACCGAATCGAATAAAATTAAAAGTTGAGGGGCTTAGTTGAAAAAATAGGAATTTTGTTGTAAAAAAATTAAAGTTGTACATTTATTCTACATTGATTCGGGAGATTATCGTTCAAATTTGGTTAGAATGGACTTAAACAAAGGAGGAATCAAAGAAACAAGAAAACTAGAACCAAATCACAAAACAATTAAATTACTTAGCTAAACCCAAAGATAAAAAATGATTATAATTATAATATTCAATTTTTCGATTATTCAAACTCGATTCGAACTCGAAATTTAGACTACTAATCCGAGTCATCTCAGATAATTCGAATAAACCAAACCAATCAATCGAAGTTTACTCATCCTTAATCTGAAGATTCTCTATGTATGTAACCTTCAAAATTTCTCCCCATCTGTAAAGTCTCGTCCACTTCTTAGTGCACTTAGAAAGCTTAATTGTTTTTGCTCAGCTGATAATCAACAACAGGATCATGCAAAAGTATATGAATATATATATATATATATATAGGCCCATCTCCATGATTGAAATAGGAACATATCACTAAAAACAAGATGTACAAGTCTTTGAATTGAAACCTTTTTTTATACTGTATCTTACCAAATTATATATGCATATCGCTATAATCCTGATAAAACATACTGGTTAGGCTATGTTTCACATGTTGATAGGCATTAAATGAGTGAAGGTAATGTTTTAATTAAGGTTGTAATAATCATAATGGAAGGTCAACTTTCAACAGAAGCTTATATATTAAGTTTTCTCATGGTGTGTAAGCATGACTTTGCAATCGCATCATTGCCGAGTATCTTCATTTGAGAGTCAACTTAAGACCAAATGATCTTTGAATTTGTTCTATACATTACGTACATACATACATGTGTGTGTGTGTATATGCTGTTCTCCAGTGTGTCTCTATAAGTGCATGAAAAGGACATTAACATCAACTGTTCACCAGAAAGGAGAAAAACGTAACCTGCTTGCTCTAGCATTAGCCATTAGATGATGAAATGATCAATCTGTTTAAGTCAACAAATCACTAAATGCTGCATGATAGGATAAAGTTCCACTCAGAAATCCTTTTCTAATTTGCAACAAAGTACAGAGATTGCAGATATCGCTTAATTTAATCAACAAGCCTGAAAATACATCAAGTTCAAAATTGGAGACTTGAGGTCTTCAATAAAACAGTGGAAACACACAGTATAATAATCTCTTGCTTGTCCTTTCGTTAGTTAATAATCTCTTTCTTGTCCTTTCGTTAGTGGCCTATAAATGGTTGGTCAGTCTTGAGCAGCTTACAATATACAGAATAGCAAAAAACTAACCCTTGTTTTTCAACTGCCTAGATATGAAGACTTTCTTCTCTTTCATCATCTTCTGCTTTCTGCTCCTGGTAAGCAAAATCAATAATTCATCCGTTTCTCTCTTCCTATAGGGTGATAATTGACTTGAGCAGCCCGAATGTGATTGATGTTCGATTCGAGTTGGCTTGACTCAAACTCGAGATCGATTCGAGACCTTAATGAGTTGAGTCGAGTAAGGTCCAACACGACTCGATAGGATCATGAGCAGCTCGTTAATTTCTTTAGGGTTGATTACGTATTGTTAAAATTCTTTTTTATTTCAAGAATGGTTGTAATATGTTGGTTTGGTGTATTTGTGGAATGTTAATTTAAATTTTAGAATTTGAAATTGATTTCTACACTATTTTGATAAATTTTTCTATCAAAATTGTTAATTTATGTTTACATTAAGCTCTATATAGTATTATTAGATTTTATGTATATTTTATAAACTGAAGTAAGAATTCTGGTGAGCTTAACGAGCAAAAAGTTAAGTAATGAGTCGAATAACGAACACGAGTTGAGTAAAATTCTATTGAACTTGTTGAGTGTCGAGTTAAGTCGAGCCCGAGTCAAACAATTTCCAAGTTAAGTCGAATATTTTTCTGACTTGCTCGATAAGAACCCTACTTCCTATACATCAATTATTTTAATCTGGTGTTTTTCTTTTCTGCAGTTTGTGAATCTCAGCCATGCAAGAAAAGAACCAGGGGAGTACTGGAGAAGCGTGATGAAAGATGAACCAATGCCCGAAGCAATCAAAGGGCTAATACATGAAGATCCGAAAGGCTCGGCCATGGATTCCGGCAAGAAAATGAAACAGTTCGTCAGAGATTTCGACAGTCGGCATAGCCTTATAATATACCACAACAGCCCCGAGTCCAAGCAACAAGGCAAGACATTTGCCGTGACATCTGATATAAAGAACTAGACAGCACAAGTATTTGTCTGATCCAGCTGGTAGTCTGCTTGGTTGTTGTGATTAGAAACACCAGCTGTTTCTATGGGGGACTAAACATGGATCTTTCCATAGTTATTTTTCAACCTTTCGTCTTCACCTAGTTTCACTGTTGAAGGAGTTTTTTTTTTTCTTCCTTATCTTAACCGTAATTAACTAAATATCGATTAAGTATTAACTCGGCGTCAAAGCTCTTGTAAATTCTTAGATATTCTATGTTCGAGTGTGTTTACTTATTCTAATGTCATCATTGAGTGAATATAATAATTAGTTAAGTGTTTGAATTAAAATTAAGTCCAAGTTGCACCAACCAAGCGACCTTAGTGGTAAATAAATTGTCGTTATTTCTTGAGGTTTCTAGTTCAAGCATCAGGAATGTCAGAGGTGTGAACGTTCGACCTTGTACTTATCCTAGATTAATAAAAAAAATTAACTCTAAGGTTTTTTTACAGGAGTCGCTAATTTTATTAAAAATATAAAATATCCAAATTACAATCACAATCGTAAATTAAACACATAATAAAGATATTTTACTAAACACGAGAAAACTAATCACTTAAGATCACAATGATCATACAAGGAAAATGTTAAAAAACTAACCAAATAAATTCGGATAAAAGGTAGATACAAAAATATATAACCTCATCGGCAAACGAACCATAAAAGGGGTGAAGTTATTGGAAGGCCACTGACAAATTGCAACTTAAAATTGAGCGACGTGAAAATATTATCCACGAATGCAAATCATGTATCCAAATACAATCTGATGGTCCTAGCATGGTAACAAATAATGTCCATCTTGATCAGTCGAAGCGATATCAAACCCTAGAAAAAAGAATAAACAAAAATCCTAGCATGGTAACAAATAATGTCCATCTTGATCAGTCGAAGCGATATCAAACCCTAAAAAAAAGAATAAACAAAAATAGCAACCAAATGATCGAAAACATGTCGTAATTTTTTATCGAACATAAAAAGCAAATTTTGGCCCATGTAGGTCTCAAATATGTCATAAAGATAGAGAAAAACGTGTTATAAAGATGGAAGGAGAAGAAAGGCAGAATTGTTAAAAATAAAAAAATAAAAAAATAAAGATACAATATAATAAATAAAAGAAAAAAATAATGAATACCAACAGTCGACGATCAGCACCAAGACTGATGCTGCCACCGATCATAAAGATAAAGAAGAAAAGAGACTATCAACATCTAAGGAAAAAAGAGAAAAAAATAGAGCAAACATGTATATAAAAATAAAATAGGTAAATTACACGCTTACTCGTTAAACTTTACTCTCTTTCATATTTCACTTACCGTACTTTCAATTTTTTTCAATTTAATCACTGAACTTTAGACATTGAACCTTTTTTTATCACTTCGTCGTTAAATTTGTAATATCATTATGATGCGGCTCAATTAAAAGATTTTTGATCTTTAAAACACGGGTCAAGGGTCAAAATGCTCACACATAAGAGCTTTCAAGGGAAAAAAAACAAATACTAAAATGGAAAACTCTTTCTTTCTTGTTCTTTCTTTCTCTATCGTCGAGCAGGGAAAAATATAGAGTGCCTTTCTCTTTCTATAACTTCATATGTTTTCACCCTTCAAATCACCATTGATAGAAACAACAAGCCTTTACACCTCGCTTATCTTTCTCTTTCTTTGTTTTCCTTATGTGTAATGATCATAATGGTGAAGGATCATTAGGAATTAAATGGAAAGGTTGATATTAATTCTAAGAAGAATTCATAATTAGTAAATTGAATGCAAAGTTTGTAAAAGTTGAAGGGGATTAATTATGAAAATAAATATGTATGGATTTGAATGAGTATTTTGGGAAATCTGAAATTATGGCAGACTTATGATTTAGATTATGTATCGATTTAGTATCGATCACGTTTATAGAATTTATATTTTCATCAGAGTTAGGTTATGTTAGTAGAATACTAACATATAGTTTGGAAATGATGTATATATGTGATGTCGCACATACTACGTCAAATCTTCTAATTTTAGTGATTCAAAAGAGAAGGACAAAGTACGCGAAAAAGAGAGAGAGCATCATAGGAAAGGTTTAGTAGCGAGGCAAAGGTGAATGTAGCTTATTCATATAATTATTCTGATGGAGGGAGACTTGCGATAAGTCAACGTCGTATGATTTTTAAAGTGTGATTTAATTCTAATTATGGGATAATTCCATAATGTTTTTATAAAGGTTTTACAATTGATTTATGATTTAATTTGGGTATGAATTACCCAATATGTTTTTATATGAAATTTTCTAAAAAGTTGTTTGAATGAATTATCAGAAATGATTTTCGGGTATGAACTGCCTAAATTACCAATTTTTATAATGATGAATAAAGAATGATTATAGTTGGAAATACTGATGTGTTTTAAATGAATATAATATGGTTTGAAAAGCCCATTGTATGTTCCATTGAGAGTCGTAAGTAAAATTGGCATGCCACGAGGTGGAGTGATTATGATTATGATTTAGTACATTTGTGTACATTATGTGTAGCACCGTTGGTGCAAATGATATGAATGCACTTGGAGTGGATATTCTGATTACGATTATAGCACTGAAGTACTAATTGAGCACACTCATCTGAATCGCGTACATTGCATTCTCTTACATATACATTGCATTCTCTTACATATACATTGGGCTAAAAATATGAAAGATAAAAGCTTTGAAATGTATTTAAATGAAATCTGAAAGCGAAAGTTCTGGAACGTGTCTTAATGTAAATGTGTCTGAGGGACAAAAATCTGAAATATTGATTACTATGATTCTCATAAAATTATGAGATTATGATTTTCATGTTTCTAAGGAACAAAAGCGACTTGAATAAGTCGGTTTGGAATTTCAAAAAATTCATTGAGTTTAATTTTAATGTTTTGAATTGTTATTATGATATTTTTATTTTAAACTCACCTTAAGTAGTTATATTGTCTCGCTAAGTTTTTATTAGCGTGTGATGATTTTTAGGCATAGGTTTAGATAAAGGAAAGAACGTGAAGCGAGGAGCCTTCTGATGCATCTTTGCAGAAATCGACCTACCTACAGTATCAGTAAGAAATATTAGGTATTGATTCGATTTTAGTGGCATGTATAAGTTATCTAGTTAGTAGCTCTGATAAATTTCTATTTCAAATGGCCTATAATAATAAAGTAGGGTTGTTTTATTTTATTTAGCATAATTATATCCGATAATATGATCGAATAGTACTATATCATAAAATGTTTTAAAGAGGAAGAATCTAGGGGTGTTCAAACGGGTAATTCAGTTAACCGACTGAATCGAATTACCCAAATTCCATTAACCGATTTTTTTCTCCATTAAGCGTTAACCGAACCGAATTTTTTTCTAAAAAAATTTAACATAACCGAACTAAGTTCGATTAATTGATCGGTTAACCGAGTTAACTAAAATTTATAAATAATATATATTATATATTTAATATTTTTTGGTTTATTCGGTTAATTTGGTCGGTTAATTTAGTAAAAATCGAGTTCAAACACCCTTAAAGCTAAATAATATATATAATAATAATATATTAAATATGTAATAATTTCGATCAATTCGGTTATTTAACCAATTTCGAACCGAATTAACCGAAACTTAATTTTTTTTAAAAAAAATCCATTAATCGTTAACTGTCCGAACCCAAAATTAATCGACCCGATTAACCGACCAAAATTTTGGTTCGGTCGGTTAGTTCGGTTTTAACCGAACAGTGAACACCCCTAGAAAAATCCAATGATTTTAAAGTTAGCAACATTTAGACTGTTTCATAAGTGTAGTGAAACAACACTACATTGCTTAATTGTTGTCTAAAACCGGTTTTGATTTGAATAATAGATTATTAATTTACAACATTACTCGACTATCGAGACTGATATAATTTATTAAGCTGAGTTTTTAAAATAGATCAAAATTTTAAGAATTTCAATTCAAAGAAAGTAGGAATGTTTAATGTGACATCTATAACTCGTATTTAGAGAAGTATATGGATTATGGGTGTTACATTCTTTCTTCTTCTTCTTCAGATGACAATGTTGATAATAGTAACAGTGAGATAAACAAACAAACCACGAAACATCTTCTCCGGCCGATCACATTCACCAAATTACCACATAAATTCTAAGACAAGCAGAGCAAGCATAACATCAGGCAACGTCTCGTCTAGAAATGGAATTAGGAAAACCCCATTATTGCAAAAAGCTTGAAATCTAAGAGGTCAACTTGTAACCATTTCGTTCTCTAATGGCAGCCATATCCTGATTGTCCATGGATAGTTTTCCTTGATTGCAGAGAGGCGATGAAGAATTGATGACCATGGGTAGTTTTCCTTCACATTTAGAAGAAGACAATGGGTTATAATTTTTAATAAATATAAATCTTACGTGGCTGATTTTAATATTAAAATAAGCCCATAATCAAACCGTTATTGAGTAAACGATCGAGTGAGCAAAACTTCAATATCTAAAGTTCAATGATAAATTGAAAAAATTAAAGTACGATGAGTGAAATAGGAGAGAGAGTAGAGTTCAGTGAGTAAGCTTGTAATTTACCCAAATAAAATAAATTAACTCCAAGTTAATTACTTTAGCATCCAAATTAGGACATATTTTAACACTTCGACAACTGTAAATAATAATAAAACGGGAATCAGGTCTTAATTATTAAGCTTCAATTTAAAATTTAAACACAGGAATGGAATGGACCAATTTGTCTAATTTTGAAATTTGTAGGGATGTAAGAATTAATTTCAAATCATTAAGATCTCAGAAGTGTTTAAATAAAGAAAACTAAAAATATGATTTATTTCTATCATTTCAAAATTACAATGACCTAAAGAGAAATTGTACCCTTTTTATTTTCAAATCAATCAAATATTTTAGTTTGTTTAGTTATATAGTGTAGAATATATTAAAAATACGCAAATAAAATGTTAAAAATGTACGTATTCACCATGTGAATTATTTAAATTTATTGTGTATGTACAATACGTTTAACCCTTATGTTAACATTAGAATGATAAAAAAAATTGATAAGATATCGATAGTTTGAGAGTTTAATTAAAATATTTTAAAATTTAAAGATCGATATAAAATTCGAATCGTAGTCTGATAATGTTTATTAAATTAACCCTAAGAATCCACATTGATTTTATCGGGCCACATAAACAAATTGTTGGGCTAGGTTGGGCCACACAATGAAT